GTTTTATTGAAGTGACACTAAGCTCAGGAGTTAAATCTTAAAAATGAATTCAGGTACCTTAACTATTAACAAAAATGTATCTTATTTGTGTATCACTCGGCTGTAGATCCTCAAATCATCATTGAATTGGTGCTGATACTGTCATTCCTTCTGGAGGGGGGCGACTTTTGTTCCCCATGGTCCCTGTGTGTGTTGTAAAGTAGTTCCTCACTCCATGTTTATTCCCATGTTGGCTACACTCTCTCATTTAAATGAGTAAACTAAACAGGAGTGTAGTCCATCATGGGATTGAGCTTGGAGCGGTGGCTACTTTACAACACACACAGGGACCATGGGGAACAGAAGTAGCCCCCCTCCAGAAGGAAGGACTGTGTCAGCACCAATTCAGAGATGATTTGAGGATCTACACCCAGTGTATACTTTGGCAGATACAGTTCCTACAGCACAATCGCCCCTAGAGAGCACTGGGGAGTATTTTTGATATTCCTCAGTGCCATCTAGGGGCGTTAGTGCCAGGTGAATGGAATCCGCCCAGCTATACATTAGGTAGAAGTTTTATGATTAAACCCAAAAGTGTGCAATGGGTTAGTTTCTTATTTCACAAAATGTTTAATCCACTCACTCCACTCCACTCACAGTCTCCCTTATATACAAGCAAACCAAAATATTCTGTGACTAAGTAATTCTCAGAAAAACGTGCACATTGAAAAATGTTAGGGTGTCAGGCCATCTCCTCAATACTTCTTCATCTACAGCCAAAATGAGTATAATCAAGAACCCAACTGACTAATAATCTCAAGTGAAATTGTGAGCATTGTTGGCTTTAATGGAGCCCTCCATGGCCATCCTTTTCCCCCCACCAGATGCCCATTCGCCTTTGCCTACCACAGCTGCCAGATGTAGAATATATGTCACCAGAACACTCATGAATCTTCCCTTAGTGACACCTTTATTGACGTTCATTTAGCATATCAAAACGTTACTCATCGGATATCATTGGTGTTTTGGTGACAGATTTCCTACTTGGATCAAAATGCTACGTAATCCGCAGGTAACAGCAGCACCCGGAAAGAACGGGTACAACAGTTATGTGTAAGGTGGGGATATCTGTATGATCTGTATGATCACAGCAGACAGAAGACACATATAACCTACACCCTGCAGACCTAACAATTTGTAATTCTCCTGTCTATATGGCCATCACTTCCTCTAATCTGGCCAACCAGAAACTAAACTATGATGCATGGGATCTCCTTACAAATCCACATATGGATGCACAGAAATGTCACTTCTGAATATACCGGTTATAAACTTGAACAGTTCTAAGGATTTGATGAAGCATACTGAAAATGGCATGACAAAATGATCAATACATCCAGAGATACAGGCAAATAAAGGTTTATGTAACTTGGCCTGGCTGGTCCTTCCCTCCCTATTGATCAGTACATTTACCCATCCTTAAAGTGAGGATTAGGGAGCAGGAAGCTAAGCTTGACTTTTTCTGGAAGAGTCAGATTTGTATGAACATTGAGCTGCATTAACCTCTGCCTCTGGTCATGCATTTTTTTTTTTTAAGCCTTCAACATGCTCTGCATGAATTGCCCAAGTCTATGCCAGGCGTACCTTAGGGCACAACTCCAGTCAATACTTTTTTTAACAGAGTAGACAAGGGTTAGGACCTCCCCCAGTTTTTTATTATGTTTCTGTAGCCATTACTTTCTGTGTGGTCACCATGACTGGAAATCTCTCCAAAGGGGAGCACAGGACTTGTTCACACCAAGTGCGTTGATCAATGCAGACTCAATGCAAGAACACAGCAAATACAATTTCTGTGTATGTGACCCATGCAAATCAAACCATTGCGCTGGTGTGCCTTAAGCAGAAATGTAGGAATGCTGCATTTTCATGCAGCACAACACAGAAAAACACACATCAACACAATGTGTGTACAAAAAGAATTAAGGTATTAAATACCTTGGCCCTTGATGTTGCCAGGTTTTTATTGCCTTTTGTGACCCTGATGGGGAAATCTCACTTCTTGTGTGGTCACCAGTACAGGAAATATTGTAAAATCTTCCCACCGGAACACAGGCACCTACACACCAGCAAAACCCAAAAATATGTAATGGCCGAAGTTGAGCTTGAGTTGAGTGCAAAAATATCTAATTTAAAGCAGAGGCAGAGATAGGCAACGGCTACTCAAGTCCCTGCCATCACTGGGTCCTGTTGTTCCTGCAAGTCCCCAGAGCTACCAGTGATCGACTGGTAGATCGCGATCGACCTTATGGGCACCCCTGCTCTAAGCAATGTAGTCTCCATGATCCCCTAGGGCAGCGTTTCTCA